CAATGGGATGTCTGATCCCTAAATTATAAGCTCTCCCCACCCCACCACACACCAGAAGTACAGAAAGCATGGCTGCTGTGCTGATTTCTGCAAGTTATCTGAAATGTTGCTTTATGGCAAGAGATTCTGTCATATCTAGGGGCACGCTTGAATAAAAAGCTAGCACACAGTCTTCACATATACAACCCTGTACACAAGTTTATCAAAATGTATGATTAATGTTTAAATATATTAAAACCATTATAGGAAAAGACACACTGCCATTAATCCCCTTCAAAATATTCCCCTTGCTTCAAATATGCTTATCTCACCATTCTTGCCACTTTCTGTCTTTTTGAGAGGGGTTTTCGCTATGCACTTCAGGCTGGTCTCAAACTCACAGCAATCCTCCTGCCTCAGCCTGCTGAGTCTTGCCACTTTCTGAAGCTGTTCTGCAAGTCCTCTTTCATGTCTTTACAAGGTGCAGTCAAAAATACAGTGAACACTGCTATCACTTGTCCTCCAGTGACTTGTATAAACATTACTGTGTGTGTTCCCATCCACCTTTCTCGCTAGATCTGGCACCCTGTGACTTCTGGATATTCTCCAGCATCAGAATAATCACAAAAGGTAAACATTTTCCATTGATTCAGGTTATCTAGGCAGCCATGAGAGCACAACTAAAGCTACTCATCAAACAGGACTTCCAGAACTGCTTCAGAAAGCGGCAAGAATGTGGGAGAAGTGTGTTTAAAGCAAGGGGGAATTTTTTGAGGTGCAGTAATGACAATGTGTCTTTTACTGTAGCATTTTTTAAAAAGTTTAAACATTCACTCTATATTTTATCACACCTTGTATATAATTAGACAATCTCTCCTTTGTCCTTGAGTCAAAGCATTGAATGAGGCTGTTGGTGTGGCAGGTGTCAGCTCTGGAGAGGAAAGGTATGCAGTGAGGGGAAACATGTACCCTGGTTTACTCATGCAGGGCAGTAATTCTTCCTGCCCCTGACTTGTGACACCATTTAGGTTGTGCTTCCAGGCTAGAGGCTGCTCCCCTCTGCATAGAAACCAACAGCCAAGGGTCCTTCATCTCAGATATGCTGTGCAGCCCTGGTCTGGCTAACACCCCTCATCATTAACGTTTCCTTGATACTTTCTTCTTTGCTCACAAAAGCAGAAGGCGTTGTGTATGTGTGTGGGATAAAACATAAAATCTTAATAACCACGTTTCAATCAGTCAAGCCTTTGCTTACGCTGGGGCCTTACACTTAGCCTGGGGTATGACTTTCCTGCGTAGAAATGTGTCTTATTTTAAAAGTGGCTCGTTTTCATAGGAAAGCACACTTTGATTTCCAGAATTATAAGCAGTTTTCGTATTATCAGGTTAGCCCACTATAGTGACTGTCCTGGCTCCACCCCATTGGCATCAAGTTAGCTCTTGTGGCCTTTTTGAGCCACAACTGACACTTTGGAGCTATAAAGTTATCTATCACAGGGTTCCACCAACACGTCTTATCTGTGCTCAAAGAACAGCAATGCCAAGAGAGAGGCTATTCCTGCACCTTATCCTGGAAGAAAGAAGGTATGTACCACAGACGCACAGCCAACGTACAAGATAATGAGAAATATATTTTGCTTTTGCAAACCACTGGCATTTAGAAGTTATTTGTTACTGTACCAAAACCTAGAGGATCCTGGCTACTATATTCACTAAAGCCTATTTTGACCACACTGATCTAAAATATTATATATTTGCAATTGTGTCTAGGTTTTGTACTCTGAGTAACTACTATTAAGATTGTGATACACAGTGGTTTTTATTTTGTTTTGTGTTTTTGAGATAGGGTCTTGCTATGTAGTCCATGCTGGCGTTGAACTCACAGCAATCCTCATGCCACAGCCTCCTGGGTACTGGGATTACAGTGTGCACCACCACACCTGGCTGATACATAGTGTATTTTTTGTTTGTTTGTTTGTTTGTTTTTTCCAGTACGGGGAATCAAACTCACGACCTTGCACTTGCCAGGCAGGTGTTGTGCCTCTGAGTTAAATCCCTATCCCCTTACATAGTGTATTAACTATTTTTATTCTCTTATTATTTTGTAATGAAATTTGTTTTATGTTTTCATAAAAATGAAAGGTCACTGGAAATACCACTTGCAATGATCAGAGTCACAATTTTTTTTTTTTTTTGGTTAAACAAAACACAAGTCCATTTAGTGTCAGGAGTTTAAGCAGAGACTTGAAGTGGAACCAGTAGACTCTCGCAGTAATACATAGAAAGTACAGCAATGATCTTCGCCTCAGATGTCTGGTTCAGTGGTCTGGTGGAATGTCATACACAAAATGAGCCACACTGCAAACGCTTGTTTTCTGACTGTGGCTACTGGCTGTCACTTCTAGCACAGTAGAACCATGTTGAGAGAATGTAAAAAGTGAGCACCGCTTCTTACCACATTCTCCCTCCTACTGTTACTCTCCCTCTGCTCCTGTGGGGTGCAGCGGAGACCACGAGCCACATGGCCCAAGACTGTCCAATAGGAAGGGGCAATCACTCCAACGACAGCCAGGCTCACCTCCACAGCAGTGCCTGTGGCTTTAACCCAGATTCCCACAATGGAATCCAGCTCTGGCAGTGGTAGCTGGATAAAAGGACCACGTGCTGAGTGAAGGAACTTGGGTGAATGAATGGGTGGGCTGCAGGGGTCACTTGCAAAGAGGTCAGGTGCAATAAGGAAACAACTCATTCAGGCAGCTGCTTTTGACCTCAACTTCCAAACCTGCCTGCTGCATGAGGGGAAGCCATCTCCCCTAGGAGCGAAGTCACTGGGGTGGGGGCCATATTCTCACTAGCAAGTCTCTCCAGGGGCCAGGGCTTTAAGGCACAAAGCTCCTGGATCCATATTCTCTCACCCACGCCCGCCCCCACTCTCTACTACGCTCATTCCTTGTGTTTCTTCTTATGCTTCTTTTTCTTTTTCTTCTTCTTTGCTGCCTTGCTGTCTTTTGATGTGTGCCTTGCCCTTTCACCTGTATCACTCTCACAGTCTGAGCTGTCAGAGTCAGATGATTTCCTGTCTCTATGTTTCTATTTCTTCTTTTCCCTCTTTCTTTTTCTGGATAAATTCCTTGTGGGGTCAGGCTTCTCACATTCTGCTGACTTTGCCTCTTCTTTCTCCTCCTCCTCTTTGGGTATCAGAGAATATTTGGTCCCCCCCTGGTTGCATGAAATAATCTTTTGCAAAGTGGCCTTAACAGCCACACTTCTTGCAGGTAGTGTTAAGGACAGCCTCAAGGGTGATCTTCTGTCTAGTGTAATCCTGGAAGGACCGCCTCCTCCTCTCTTCTTGCTCAATAATAACGTTTTTGGGATCGAGGTGTTTCCTAGTCCCTCGGTTGACAACTTTCATGGAGAAGGATACTTTTATCCTATCATTTTTCATCTCTTGGCCACTAAGTTTCACCCACACTTTGTCTCCACCATCTACTATCTCAGAGGGCTTATCCACCTGACAGGATGACATGTGTGTTCGATGGACCAGACCTTACTTTGGACAGCCTGGGATTTTGATAAAGGCTCCACAGTCTGTCACCATAGCAACCTCTCTTTGGAAAATAGTGTGGAGATCAGGCAAGTTTTCCATGGTCTCAGGCCTTCCTGAATTCATCCTTATGTTCTACAGCTCCTCCATTTCTCTTTTGCTAAAGCTAATTCAGGCACCTAGGCATCAGCTCCAACTTGAGGAGCTGCTGCATTGCCTGAAACGACTAACCCAGTCAGCGCATTCCTGCCCAATAGCCATAGTCACAATTTTTTAAAGAAAGCAAAAGGAACTGAGGCTGGAGCTAAGGCACCACTTGACTGATATCATTTTTGTTACTATTCAAACGTAAACTGACCCTGGCCATGTTTTGATGTCTGTGGGCACATTTTAGCTGTCCTATACAATGTAGTTTTTAGCTGAATCTTTTTTATTCTTCCAAATCACATCTGTGAACCAGAGAAATTACACTTCCTCTTCTTAACATCACATTTAGAACTTCTGCTAGCCTCATGACTTGCTCCTTTAACTGTATGCAGAAAAGGCAATTGCAAAGCAAAAGCTAAATTCCATCCTGCCACCTCAAACTGGAGGCAGGTTAATGCAGATATAAATGTTAATGCAAATATACTGCTGTTTCCTCTAGACTTGATTTTGGATTTTTTTATTCCCCAATCACATACACCTATAGCCAAATCACTTATCATATGGTTTCGAGATGGAAAAGAAAGTTGAATGGCAAACAAGAAGAATATTTATATTCAAAAACTCTCTTTGTAAGCACCGACTTTTAGAAAATGCAATAATATTTAAACAACCACATCTGGTCAATCCAGTTCCTGGGTGGAATACGAAAAAAAGTTAGCCTATTTATTTCAATAAGAAAGTACGTGGATTATGGTATGGTAATAAAGTATCAGTGAAGTTTGAAATACTTGGCTGTGGATACAGACTACATATACTCATGCATACAATTATAATACAATAACCGGTATCTAATATTAGATATCAATGTATAAACATACATGCCATGCAGGATTTACTCTGGCCACTATGCTTTCAATTTCCTTTTAAAACAGTCTTCCGTGATAAAGTTATCCTTTTAGGAAGGTTGGTGCTAATATCAATTAGATAATTTTTATGCCCATATCTTGTACTACTTTTAAGATAATATGTGATGTATGAACTATTGTTATTCTCCTATTATTTTGTTATAACATTTTGTTTTACTTTTCTTCCCATAAGATAAAATAAATAAAATTATCCTTTTTTTATTTATTAAACACATAGTTTAAATTTGTGCCATGTCTTCTGACAACTGTGTCTCATCTTATGCTCCCTATAACGTGTCAGGTTTTAAAGCCAGCGCAGCTGAAATGAGTAATGGCTTGGGCAGCAGAGCATATCTGCTGGGTTTCACAGGATGAAAACAAATGCAAGGTCCTCCCATCTCAGCGAAACAGACGTCAGGACTCACCAGATGCTGGGTAAAAATGGAAACATCCTCCGTGCTGTTGTCAGAGTTCATTCTCAGCAACCTCCCAAGTCTAGGGGAACTTAGAACTCTAAAAGTCACAGTTCTGTTTCCTGAGCTGTACACATCATTGGTCACAGCCCTCAGGTCCTGAGATGAAAGGGCCTTCACGGAGCCTAAGGAGAGATTAGAACATGTGCATAAGTAGAAAGCACAGGAAGGCTACCTGTCAGTAAAGTAATTTTTACAGACCCCTGAAATTCCTTGGAAAACACATGGCTATGAGTGTGGGGAATGCCTGGCTCTAACCTGTCAGTGGGTTATTAGGTGCTAGTGATCCTTGAGGCATCTAATTCTGGGCATGATTTGCTACCAGCACGAGAAGAAACTAGACCTGAGTGTCTCACTGATCCCTAGAGAAAGATGGCAAAGACATGTGGGTCCTGCTCAGCTCAGGGTATATAAAGGGAAAGCAGCTCCTGTAGTGCTGAGAACACACGAGAAACCCCCTCTCCTTGTGGAGCAGAGATTTGCTCTTGCATGAATGTGACGCACCTCCTGCAGAACCCCATACCTGCATGTTTCACAGACCTTGTGGACAGCAAAGGCCCATGTGAACACCAAGAGAGTGGGAGGTTGGGAAGGGGTGGCGATGACACATAGATTTTGATGCTAATGTGGCCTCACTGGTAACCAAAGGCCAAGGAGGCTTGGGCGCAGTGATAGTAGAGCAATACTCCTTAAATATTCTATGGTAAAGAATCAGTGTTTCCTTCCTAGTCCACTGTGGACCAATATTTTGTAAAATACAATAAAAATGTCACAGCAATGTCAAAGTACTATGAAATTTGTAAACACTTTCACTTAGTTTCCATTCTTATCAGCTCACAGACTGGAAGGCACATGGATCGTACTTGTAAGAGCACAAGATCAAAGTAAACACCCATTCCCATTGCTGTGATTTGGGAAATATCCCCAGCCTCACAGGATGAAGGGTCTGAAGCAGACTTCCATCCTTCTTTTGACCCCACATCTTACCTCTTCCCTTCTGTTTCAGCCCTTGATGAAAGGATTTGGTGGTATCCCTTCACAGGGCATCTCTCTGGCTATGCACTTTATAAGTTAATTATAAAGTTAAGTCAACCATCCAATAATAACTAAGCCTCCTAGATGACATTCTGCTTTTGCTTTCCTTACTCAGCCTTTGTAGTCAGAGAGCAAGGGCCACCAGATCCAGTGTTTAAACCACATTCAGCATGAGCTAACTACAAGAAGAAACCAGCTTTGGGTCTGGACAGCTTTCAAACTTGCGAGGATTTTTATGAGCCTGCAATTTGAAAAGTTCATTTAAAATGCCTGAGTCCCTTAGATAAGCACTAGGTCCTGGGGCTCCTGGGGGTGAGGGTAGGTAAATGTCAGCCTCAAAAACATGGTTCTGCCCCAAGTTCAGAACTGCCTTGGCACAAGTTTGATTATTACATGAAACGCTCATGTGATGCTTATAATTGCCTCTCACGTTCCTCTCACTTTTTGCTGCTACTTTTTGCAGTCATTATTACTTTCTGGCTTCTGGAACTAGGGAACCACGATGGGAGGTCTCATCCAGGAGACCAAGAGGAATGTTTCTGTGCCTCTAGTCAATGTTATAAAGTCATAACTTGGGCCCTTCCTGTCAAAGTGGGGTCCTCTCTTCCGACAGATAGATGATGTCTCTTATGTGTGTGGTCTCAAGACACCTCCAATTCAACCTTCTCATCCTGTTTTTCTCTGGAACATTTTCCCATGATGCCTTTTTAATTACTCCTGTTATAAAGAACTCTAACTCATACTAACTTGTTCCTTCACTGCCAAGGTTACCTTTAGGGGGTAGGAGATAAAAGAGACTCTTTTTATAAAATTTTTCTATCCAAAGAATAGAAAATCAGTTTGAAAATATATCTGCACTCTGAGATTTATTGTAGCACTGTTCATAATCGTCAAGATGTGGACTGGACCTAAGTGCCTTTCACTAAGTGAATGAATGAAGAAAATCTGGCACCAACACACAATGGAATTCTCCTCGGCCAAAAGAGACATGAACTCCTGTCATCTGCAGCAACATGAATGGACCTAGAGATCATAGCAGTAACTAAAGTCAGACAGCACAGACAGATAAATACCACCTGATTTCATTTCTATGTGGAATCTAACAAAGCTGAGCTCATAAAAGTAGAGAACAAAATAGCAGTTACCAGAGGTCATGGTGGGTAGAAAAGGGGGTGGGAGAGACTGGTTACGAGTCCAAAGGCACAGCCAGAAAAGAGTAAGTTCTCATATACTATTACACTGAAGTGTGATTAAAGTCAACAATGTTCAATCACGTAATTGCAGATCACTAGGAGAGAGGATTCTGGATGCTTTCATTATATACACAAGATAAATGTTTGAGATGATGGATGACCTAATACCCTGAGTTTATCTTTACACCATGTATAGAGGTACAAAGGCATCACTGTACTCATAAACATGTACAATTATTATTTGTCAATTAAAAATAAAATTTAAGAGTATTATTTAATTCATCTTGGCCTTTCAGAGTACAGGATCCACCCAAGCTGTTCCAGGCAGGCCAAGAGTACTTCTCACTCAGCGGGCGTATGTTGGTCCCTCACTGCCTTCTCCACCCACGAAACCCAGAATGTCGCTGAAGTTTAATTTCTGCCCAGCAGTCACTCCGAGCTGCTCAGGCAGTAAAACCAGTTTACCCCATGTCGCAATTGCCTGACAAATGTCCCTTACTGTCCGGCCCAACTCAGCAAAAGCTAAACATTATCCCTCCACCTTTTGTTTTAGAAAAGCAGTTGATGTTTTCACCAGCCAGTTCCAGGCACTTAGCTGGGGAAGGATTTCTATGAAGTCTCACCTAAATTTTATCCACAGAATAACTGTTGTTCAGCATAGAAGTCTCAGCGGGCTCAGTCCCATAGCTCTCTGGCATATACTGTCATTCTACATATACTTCTCAGAGATTTAAAAAGCATATTAAAGCCTATGAGAAGACTTGGGTAAAGAAATCCATTTTATTGTTCTTTTAAACACTATTTCCTGAGCATACTTTTATCCCAGTTGTTTGTTTCATGAAAAACAACTACCACCATCACATTAAGAGTTTCAGGATCACTAAGTGTGGAAGTTTCATTCATTTCCTCAACAAACGCTGTTAAGCACCTAATACTTGAAAAGCCCTACAAGGAGCAAAGATGCATGAGTTGAGCATACTAACCCCGAAATCTAAAATCTGAAATGCTTCAAAACCTTGAGCTTTCTGAGCACTGACATGGCTCCACAAGTGGAAAGTTCTATATTGGACCTCACCAGTGGGTTACAGTCACAATGCAGGTACACAAAAAATACTGTACGAAAATATCACAAGCTTTGTGTACAAGATGTATATGCAACATAAATGAATGCAACATAAATGAATGTGCAACATAAATGAATGTATATGCAACATAAATGAATGTCCAACCCCCAAGACATTTCACTGCATATATGCAGATTTTTTTTAAAAAAAGTCACTTTTGGTGCCAAGCATTTTCAGATGAGAGATACTTCATTTGTACCAAGAAACCAGCATGGACACAGTCCTTGCCTTTTCTTTTATATACCATGATAACCTTACGAAGGTTATCCTTGTCACCAAGAAAGGATGTAAGAAACTTACCTGATGGCCAAATATAAGTCATGCCGATTCAGAAGTATTTTTAACTCATCACTATATTGCTTGTAACACTCTAAACTTAATGGGTGCTGTGATATCTGAGTTAGGAAATGATGTGATTAACCATTCAATGGATCTGATAGATCTTCCTCCACCTCTCAAACACATTCTTCTCTTCCTTGGTCTTCACTCTGCAATTATTCTGCTTTCCCTGGCATGCTCATCCTCCCTCCACAGCCCTTGGCACAATGCCGCGCACTGTGCAGGGGAACCTTAAGTCCTGTCTCAGTGAGCAAGCTCTCCCCGGCCCCTCCAGCCCATAAGAAATCCATGTACCCAACCCCATCTGTACCATTCACTGGGTAGTTAACATAATATGTTCTGCATGGTTTCTGTATTCCTGAGTGAAGTCTGGTTTCCTAAATCAGTAAGCCCTTACACATTTCTTTGAGGATTGACAGCCTTTTCTCACAGTTCTTAGTCATCTCCCACTAAGTCTTACAAGACCTGCTGGCTAAAAGGTTTTATGAATCTCTGCTCTACATTCCACCACAACACACTATGAGTCCCTTCTCTCTTCTTCTCTTCTTCAATTCCTGCCACAGGTGACAGATGGTTTAGTGATGAGATGTTATTCCCCCTCTATCATGCCAAAGACACTGAAGTCACAGTTTGCCAGGAAGACTCTTTGCTCATGGACTGCTTAACTGTGGGTATATGTAACTTTATATTCTAGACTAGATCATGGTAGCAAAACTCACAATGTAAATCCCTCTAACATTCAAGGCAACACCCCTTGAAAAGGAGCCAAGTGCAATTTGGATACACAGAAGAACTGAATCCTAAGGCTATAGTGTATTCTAACATCCACCACTAAAGATAAACAAACAAAATCAATGGTGGCATTCAATGTGAAAAACTGGCACAAAATTTTTTTCTGGGGAATGAATTTTGCAGAAATAAAGTATGCTTCAATAAAATAAAATATATATACACACATATATTGTACCACATACATGCACATAAGTACATATCTACACATATATTCAAAATATATATAATAAAAAAAACCAAAAATAATGAAATAAAAATATTGTATGCAGATTTATTTTCTTAGTTCACAAAAAATAATTTAATTTAGAGCTAGAATATTTCCTACAATAAAATAACTGAGGTAAAAGCTGATTTTCAATTTGGTAGGGCATAGAAGCCATGGGTAACCTTAAAATATTCACCACATTATGTATTCTAACAATTGTTTTGGCCTGCCATGTAAACTCTTTCAAGTCTCAAGCCAGAGCCACGTTTTAAGACTAACTGCATAAAGCAGCCAAGACAGAAATAGCTAATGTCTGATGAGTTGGCAAAGAAAGGCTGAATGGTATGGAACCAATGTGAGTTTTATAAAAACTTGTGTTAACTAATGCCAGGTGGCAATATTTCTTTAACCAAACTGAGTAACTCACATATTTCTACATAATCATTTCTCTTTATTAAATCACTATGCATATTTTTCTGGTTGTGCATTTCAATACATCGGTAACACTGAAAAGGAGACAAAATAAACAGCTACTAGGAGGGCCCATTCTCAAAGAGCTGGCATTCCAAAACAGACAGGCTGGGAATATAAAGGAAAGGAGTTCTCAGATGAAAGCACAGCATTTGGGGTCAGATTCAGCACTCAGTCTTGGAGCTTATAATTCTTATTAGTTAAACGACCCTAACCCTTCCCAAGCCTCCATAATTTTTTTAGTTGTCAAATGGGGGTGAATCAAAGCTTATATTTACATATATTACTTCATTTAAATTCTTATAGCAACCCAGTGTAGTAGGTTAAAATTATAAAGCACCATAAAAACCCAAATTATCAATGCATCTGAATTTCTAATCTATAATAGAAATAGATGTTCTATTTTTAAAATAGATCTAAAACTCTGCAGTTCTAAAAAAAAGGAATACGTTTTCCCTGATAACTTAGAACATCTGACTCTGAACATATAAATCCACAAGAGCTGACAACCTGATATCCGAAATCACACCCTGAGGCAGGACACCAGATGCTTCTCCCTAGCAGGCCATGGCATGATGAGGTGCTGCTTGGGGGACACAAGGGAAGGGGAAGCGTGGGCCTCTGTCAGTGTCACCCCACAGCTTCACACAGCAGCAGGGACCACCTATCCTTGGGTGACTACTGTAGAAGCCAGGCTGAGCAAAGCTCAGTTGGGTGTCTGGAAAGACAATGAGGCGATGTGACCATCCGTACCGTGCTTACACGATAGACTGGGTCACTGCTACTTGGGGATGTTAGGTTATGAAAAGCACAGAGAACAATTGGACCAGATGACTCAAAGGTCTATCCCAACTCTAAGATCTCTAAGATCTACGGATTTCACAGTTCTCATTTCTACACCCACCCAAGTTGAGATTCTATCAAGTAGAAAACCACCCAATGGAAATGTACATGAAATCTACTGTCTTTCCTCCTGGCCAAGAACTACAGTAGGAAACAAGTCACTCTGTAGGGACAGAGGGTGTCACAAAAACCAAGAATACCAAAATAGCTAATGTGTTCAGGTGAGCTTGGAAAAGGAGCGGCTCACTTTGGAATTTGCAGATAACATACAAGTTCTAGTAGTGAGTTCTCTGACACAGAGAAGATGCAAGTCTCATGGCAAAGGGAAGATGGTTACTCAGGGCCGTGTCCAATATTAAATAGAGAGCTCCTCAAACTATATGTCTGCATTATTTTACAAAGGTGAAAAGGGAATTCTGTCTGCATTAATGTATTTTTCCTGTCAAACTAATATTCAGTAAAACAGTAGTGGTTTCTACACAGTAGTGGGTCCATCCCTCATTTAATATAACTGTCCTCAATTATTAAACCAGACTTAGTTTAGCCAGAATAGATGAAAGAGATTTGATCCTTTGTATCAGCCAGATTTTTCTTGATTTTGGAATCTTTAAAATAGATCACCATATTTTTCAGATTACTAGCTTGTTTACTTGTTTTTAAAACACTCAGTGGCACCTTAGTTGCCTTGAAAACCTAATAGAATCATCACACTTATTCTCTGAGAAAAATTATAGAACAGAGAAAAGGTTTCTGAATAGAAGAATCTTGGTTAACATAACTTTTGGTTCATTTTGAAAGTTTCTTTTCATGAACTCAAATGCTGAAGACAACTAAAAATTTCAAAATTTCTCCAAAAAATTAAAAAAAATTACAACAGAAAGAATACTGCTTCCATGTCTACTATAGAAGTATGAGAAGTCTCTACCCTTCACTCACATTCTCTCTTCAAGCCACAGAGCCTAAGAACTTCCCATGAATACATCACTAACCTCACGTCATCATAAGAACCAAAGGATGGTGTCCAGTCCCCTGGATTGCACTCCTGATTCCATTTCAGACTCAAGAGGGTCTTTAAAAATTGATGCCATGCCCCACTTTGGAGACTCCCATTTAAGTGGTATGAGGCAAGGTCCAGGCATCACTATTTTTCAAAGGTTACCAGTGGTTTAAACAAATGGCTACTGTAACCATAATTAATTGTTCTCCTTCCATGTTTCACTGGTAATGCATAGCATTTGAACAAATCACAATGGTTTTGGCTTTTTATCACACCAGCATTTGGGGTATGTTGAAATTTTATTGTTTCCTGTACTTATACCTCCATGCTCTTTTTTGAAATAACAAATCCAACTTTTCTCCTCCTTTTGGGAAAATTGCTCCTGCCACTGGGTAAATCTCCCCTTTCCTTCAAACCACCCTTTGAAGGTGTTGGCCAGAGAGGCTCCTTTGTACCTTTCTATGGCAGCCAGGCTGACATTCTTGGCAAAGAGCCACCCAGAGGCTGCAGGGCCCCAAAGCAAGCCCTGACTGAAACCACTGACAGTCTAGGTACTGCACAGGATTTTTATACTCAAAATACAAACATTCCAACAGAGTAAAGCAAGATGGGCATCACATAGCCTGGCCTTCTGTGGTTTTTTAAAGCAGACAGTAGGAAAAAAGTGCTCATGGACTATAAAGATACATCTTGCATGATTCTTCGCCACTGCCCTCACCAGTACAGCCTCTTCTGAGGAAGACAAACACAGGAAAGAACTGTTGCAGAGAGCCCCAACTTTGTTTCCGGCAAACCTTTTCGGGATTTTATCAATGTTATTGGTATTATTCTGCAGTAAAAGATGATGCTTTGACACTTTATACTGTGCAAGTAGAACTTTCTAAAGAAACAGGAAAATACTCAAAACTCAAAACAACCTAGCTCAACATATACTCTTACCTGGAAAGAGCCTCAGTCCTCTGTTTACTTCTAGGCTAATGATCAGAGCTTGAGCCATGATGCTAAAGATTTGTTGGGGTGCAAAGTTCAAGCCATCAGTAACCTGAAAATAAAAGCCTCCTGACATTGCACCTTCAAAAGAAGAAATTACACTCTGGTTAATTTTGTTGCTCTGCAAAAGCCATCCACCTTCATCTCCTTCCCCCAGTAAGACCCCCTGTAAAATAACCCCTGTTTAATACAAACACTAAGCTCCCTGGATCAGTGCAGTCATGTGCCACGTAACATTTCTGTCAACAAGAGACCACATATAGGACTCCATCCCACGAGATTATGCGTATCATCAAAGAACACCAAAGCCAGTCTAGTTTGTGTAAATATACTCTACGATGTTTGCACAATGATGACATGGCCTGATGACTCATTCCTCAGAAAAACCCTAACATTAAGTGATGAATGACTGTACTGCCAAAGACACAAAGTTAAAAACCTACCAATGTGTACTAAAATGCACATTCCCCAATCCTACAACAATGAAATGTAACAGAGATTTTGTCTCTGAGAAACTAAAAAAAAATTTAAACATATCCTGAATTTTATTATCAATTTTATAATCAATTTATACCAGTAAAGTAATGCATGACTGTGACACACATACACACACACACAAATAATTTTTGAAATCTTAGTAATACTAAGAATCAAAACTAGGAGGACATAAATAACACTTATCAGGACCTCCAAAGAGTTGCATCTTCAATTATGTTATCTATCTCAAGCTAACTATTCTGGTAAGAGGCAAAAAGGAAGGGAATGAAAGTCTTGCTTTCATTAAATCTCTGCAAGAGAATTTCACTCTCATACTTCTGTCAAGGAGTTGGTGATATCAGTAAAGTTAACAATTAACTTATGTGCATAACTGAAATTGAGATGGACCCTCATTGATTCAGTTCCCAGGGGGTGCTTTACCAGTCTGACTCAAAGCACTAGGCAAGACCACAAGGCAGACAGCTCAAGGTTCAGATCCCCATCATCTTTTGAAAATGTCCATCCAGTACTAAATTGGGAGGCCCACAGGGGTGTTCTTGTACTGCGTAGAAATGTATCTTTGTTGTCCTCAGGAACATGTTACAAGGAATAAAGGCGGCATAGCCAGATTCATAATTATAGTCAAGTACGCCCTTAACAATACAGTTTAATAAGAGGTAGATCAGTGGGCTGACAGTATTTTGTTTCTATTACCTAAGCAAACCCTGAAAGTTCTGATTTCTCACCAAAATGATTGCTAAAGTTTTCCCAGAGGGGTGGGGGAGAAAATGCTGGGTCTAATTCAGAACAGGGATCCAAAACCAAATGTTGTTTTGCACTGTTTTTCTACAAAGAGAACTTTAAACGTTGTATTTAATGAAACATGAAATTAAGGACATGAAGCTTTCTACCACTGGGCACTTTCAGTACTTCACAAATCCAGATACAACATGGATATGAAATCAAATAACTTATATCAAAATATATAGAATATTATATAGGAGTGCATCCTATCAGACTTATAAGGACCAAAGAAAGATAAGGAAAAGAACAAAAACAGGGTTGATCTGTAGATTTTCTATTGTACAATCTCAAAAATTTTCAGCAAAGGTACTTTTTGAAAGGCAGTGGCAAATCACTTAGGTTTTATCAACCTACTTAGGTTGTTATGTGGGTAGTGAGCTAGATTAATGGCAGAGCACTTTGCAAAATATAAAATGCTAAGACAGGCTAATTAAACCGAAGTCTTTGTTTGGGGCTTTTGATGGACAGAAGTCCATGGAGAGCCAGCTGGTTTCAGCACCAGATTCATCTGGCACTTGGCTCTAGACACTCAGAGTTATTAGCTCGGCTCAGTGTCCATTTAGGAAACGTAATGGATTGGTTCTCATGCTAACCTTGCCTTTAACTCTCTTGCCTGCTTTCTGAGGAGAAATTATTTTCCCTGTTCACTAAGCAAATATCGACCTGGTAGCTGATAAATCAATCAATCCAGAGACCTAAATTTTATTTTAATCCTTCATTGTAAATAGGAACTTCAGTTCTTCAACCAGTTCTGACCTTCAGTAGTCAGAACTAATGAAGAAAATCCAGCTTTAGGGTCAGATCAATTGCATCTTTTGTGAGCCTCAGTTCTTTTATCTTCAAAATGGGGTCATTATTCTCTACTGCTCAGAGGACTTCTGGAGATGAAATTAAATTTTCTGCAGTGCTTGAGAAATTGAAAGAATCAGTGACTGCTTTTCAAAATAGACAGGATAGCTTCAGAAATTCAAAACTTCCCGTGTACAAGTCTCTAGAGCAGTTGTCTCCATCCACAAAATATGGTAATCCTTTCATAAAGAAAAACTTTCTAGACACTCACCTAAACATACCTGGACTTTTGGTATCTTCTACTGAAAAACACATAACTAGAAGAAATTTTCAATTAGGTGTCTTTTAAAATGAATTATATTCAGTTTATCAGCACTGCTGTACATGTTTTAAAGATAGGAACATATATGTATGGTTTTTGTTTGTTTTGGTTTGGTTTTCAAATTTTAGAGAGGGTCTCTGTGCAGCTCAGGCTGGCCTCAGACTCCCTATGTAGCCCAACCTGGCCTAGGACTTCCTGCCTCAGCCTCCTTAGTGATGAATTACAGAAATGTGCTCAGCACATGTATGTTAAAATATTAACTAGAAAGAATGCCTTGACATATACTTTGGAAGATTTAGGATAGTTTTGCAACAATTCTAACCCTATCTGTCCTGGGCTACAGGTTCTGAACCACGACATGGGAACATTCACATATTAAATTATTTTCAGTTCTTTGGGGATCCTTTGCATTCTGTGCAAAGATAATCAGGATACTACTACATTTGGATTTAGAAGAAGTCCCTTTTTTTTCTTTCCTACATCTTCAAGGAAGGAGGATAAAGTAAAATAACTGAGAAAGCTGGACATCTTCACTTTCTGGTCATGCCCTCCTACCTCATGCACTCTCTCACGCCTCCTGCCAGCTGCTGCCCTTCTCCACCCGCTGACAAGGGCAGCCTGAAAACAAAGCCCAACTGCCCTTGCTCAGCGCCTGGGTCACCCCTTCTGCAGATTTCCACTAGCTGTTAGGCATATTGATTTATTGATGAAAAGAGAAACAGAAAAGGACATTCAATCTCAGGATCTCTTAGAATTAAAGTCATATTCCTTCCTTCACTAACTCTTGTATTCATTCCTTGAACAAGTATGCTTTTTTTCACCAATGCATCCCTAACATCTGGAATCTTATTACCTGATACATAATAGGTATCTCATTCTTCCAACAAAATTTTATTTATTAAGTACCTATTTTGTGCTAGCAACTGTCTTAGGGGCTGAGGATACACAATGTCCTGTCCTTACAGCATTTATACTGTGATGGGGAAGAACAAACAATAAAGAAATATTCAAATAAATCTGTGCTATGCTAGGAAGGAGGGACAGCAATGAAGAGTGACAGAAAAGAGAAGCTACCTTAGTGAGTGATTAAGAAAAGCCTCAAAGAGGAGGTGTCTGACTTTACATGACAATTTGTCTAAGTTTTATGGGAGTCAAAGGTACTCTATGGTTTGTTATTATTAGCCTGACTGAACATTTCACTTTTTAAGAAATTACAGAGCTTCTAAAGTTTCTATACGGTATGTAGTTTTCACTCAGCAACTATTAGGTATGACCATCACAATAAGCACTGATTGAAACACATTTTAGTTTTATATTGCTTTGCTCTGTGACCTTTTTGGACACTGTTTACCTTTTTATTATTTTTTATGAGTGCAAGTTTGCCATTTGGGAAGTTAGCACATGTACATGACACATTAATTCCATTTTTTTACCTTTTCCCTCTCCCGCTGCCCAACTCTTGACTTACCAGAATGTGCAAACACTACCAGGCCCTCATTAATCTGAGCCTGGGTGAAGTTCTGGATGCTTTGGCCAGGAGAGGACTTCAGGGCCAGATGCCCATTGCTGGGTGGAGTGACCCAGTAGACTAGATCCTCCAGGGAGGAGTCCCCATCTTCCGCACAGAGGTTGCCTCTGCTTATCTCAGTGACAGAGTTTAACCACACCTGAAAAAGAAAGGGCTCCCAGGTCTTCTGAGGACCAGCTGTGGTCACATGGTATTAGTAAATGGGATCGCGATGACACTCTGGAACCTTGCACAAATAGTTTAACTGAACCAATTCACCAGAGGTTTGAAAGCATGAGGTTTCCTAATTCAAAACAGATATATAATTACAAGCCAAATGAGATGCAATACATTTCATTTATGAAGTTGACAAGGCTTCAAAAACAGTATCATTATTTATTCAAAATTAATTATTTAAAATACATAGCCACATATCTGAAGTATAATAGCAATAAAAACTGACAGCTACTAAGCACCTTTCAATGCTAAGTACTCTAAATGGGATCTCAGAAAATAAAGAATGTATTCTTTGGGTCAGTTTAAGAGTTTCTACTCATTGCTTTAAGAAATAATTAATTTCAGATTTTAAATAGTTGAGGGGAAAACATACACATTATACATTTTAAATTCCCTTTATTCTACCTGGTCCCTTTGCCCTTGTAAGGTGTGCTGTATTGATAGCTTACATTTAAAATGGTGCCTGAGTAACACTCTTTTTTCCACTTCTATTTAAATCTATTTACTCTGCCTAAACATTTTACTTGGATAATTCATCAGACATTTATTGAGTAGCTACTATATTCCAGGCAATGTTCTACATGTTTACAATGCATCCATAAAAAAAGGTGTCTTGTCATTACGGAGTCTAAAAAAGGGGGCAAAGAGACACAGAGAAGAAACAACGGGCATAACAAGAAAATGAACTACATAATCTGTTTCAAAGTCAAAACACTATGAAAAAATGAGCAACGTTAAATAAGAAGCTCACTGGAGAAACGGCTGGAAAAGGAGGAGGAGGAAGAGAAGGAGAAGCCATGTGCATATCCAGAGAAAAATCAGACAGACAAGGGAAGCAGTCCTATGGGCGGTTAAGTAGTCCGAACAGTGGGTCAGCAGTTCAGAGGTTAGTGTGGTGTGGTGGGAGCAAAACAAGGAAGATGAAACATAAAAGAACACGAAGCAAGCACATAATGGAAGGTCAAACCATTCAGGGTCTTGAATACCACTGTTAGAGCTCGGGTTTGTCCCTCAGCGAATGGGGAATCAACACAGGTGTTGGGTGAGAAGTGACCTTTCTGGCTTCTGTTTCAAGAACACACTGTGAGCAGGGACATCTCTTAGTGGGTGATGACAACAATAATCCCAGAGAGAAATGGAAGAAGAAAGTGGCCAGAAATTGCAGAGGTGGTGAGAAGGGGGTCAGTGCCAGGTGTCTCCTGGAGGTGAAGCCAACAATGTCTGAGGAATTAGGTGTGGGAAGTGTGCAGAAAAGGAAGGTGACAGGAATGACACCATGGCTCGGGCCTCAGTGATGGGGAGTTCCCACCCACTGGAAAAGAGGAAGAGGGCAGGTGGGCTGGATTTGAGGAGCGGGATCAGGAGTTCAGTTTTGACTGTGTTGAATTTAAAATGCTTCTTTGGACAGTGAATCACGGCTGATGTAAGAGGTCGTTCTGAGTTTCTATAATCACGCAGTCATATGATAGCTCACTAACACTAAAAATAAATGGTTTATCACTCTCAATTTTTGCCTTCTGTCTGCATTTTTGTTTTTACCCACAGAAACACTATGTACACATTCCTGAGTTCACGTATCATTCTTTGCTAACTAGAATTTTACCCTCTTCTATGCTTTTTACCAACACATTTAAAACTTCAATCCTAAGGCCTTTAGTAGATCAGATGCCTGCTTAAGGGAACTATTTTCCTCAGGAAAACAGGCAGTTTATGAGATAACTTAATCCATACCCACTCACTATCTATTAACTAAAGACAATTTTGAGACAGTGAGATCAACAGCTGTATAGGATTCCTATGTTCTTATATCAGATATGATGGAGCTAGAAGACAAAAACCTGTTCTGATTCCTTTTAATGCTACACACACACACACACACACACACACACACACACACACATACACACACACCAGTGCTTTGTGAATCATCTCCTAACTTTTTGAAAGTTAACAGCTACACTCCTAAGGTCATTCACTGTACATAACTAAATACCCCAAACGCACACTAGAACTTACACATCCAAATGAATGTATAACTCTTCAAAGTTTCAAAGTAACTATGCTGAAGAAGAACACAGGCCAATAACAATAGTACTGCTCAAATTTTTTCTTTTGAAATTATTTTCAGTTAGCTCAAGGCCATTTGATTGTTTTTATCCAGTGACTGGGCTCAAGTCACTACTTTGCCACTTATTAGCTCTATAATTGATGATGGGCACATTTCTTAACTTCTCTGGGCCTTAATTATTTCATTGATAAACTAGGAATAATGGATTTACTAAATTTCACTGAGTGCTGTGGGTTTTGTTTTGTTTTGCTGGCATGTTGGGAATTGACCTCAGGACCCCTCACATGCTTGATGTGATTTTTTAATATTACTTAAGTTATTCTGATTGTGATGATTACTACTACTAAGATTCTTCTGTAGCACATACAGCAGCCTTGTTTAATTCCAAGCATCTACAATGGGATGAGTAGTTTATCTGTTTAGTGATTGCGTTGGACGGATGCTCCTAATCTTATAATTTGGAATAAGCTCCCTGAAGATTTTCAGTGCTAATTAGCTCTAAGGATATCAACTTTTTAACAGCTACCACAAATGCTAGTCAACTTAATATTCAAATTATTAGAGTTTAGCTTCCTTTAACTCATTGAAAGGCTACAGTGTCTATAAAATGTACAAGTTTGCTTTTATTTTTGGTTGGCCGGTTTAACAAAATACTAGCCCACTCATACTGCTTTGTCACTTTTTACATTTTAAAATCCATTTATATGTTTTATTCTTATTTCTTTAAGGGCTCAAACTGAGTTGGAAATGTGCTGCCATTTTTTTCCTATAGTAGGCACTTATTTTTTCCAACAGTCAGCATAGGAGAGCTGGACAAAGCATGTTTTCCACTGAGTTACTCTACTACAGAACACTGCTTTTCCCCTTCTTGTCCCTTCCAAAACAAACAGAAACCTGCCACTCAAAGCAAGAGGTGGGTGGTCAGGTTGGCAAATGCCTGTAATCCCAGCACTTGGGAGACTGAGGCAGGAGGATTGCAGGAGCATCATCGTGAGTTCAAGACCAGCCTCAACTACATGGTGAGTTTAAGGCCAGCCTGAACTACACAGTGAGACCCTGTCTCAAAAAAATCAAAGCAAGAGGTGGTACTTTCAAGTCTTCATTTCAACTCAGATCAAATTTAGTTCAATTAACAGTCCCATTGCTTCAGGGGAAGTTTGATTTAGTACCCTGTGCTTGGTAACAGAAACTTTAGGTGGGTGGTGGGAATTGACAATAACCTTGAACTTGAATTCAGATTTAAAAGTAATTCAAAGCCCAAGAAATAATGCTAATCAATTCTTCTAATCAAAGAATAAAAATCTGAAAACATGATATATGCATCCAGAATAGTGTATTTTGAAAATTCACCTTTAGCTTTAAGAGGAAATAGGTGCGATTTAGAAACCTAACTATGAGTCAATTTAATTCATTATAATTGTAATGTTTAAAGACCAAGACTTCTGTCTTGAGTTTCATAAAAGGATGTGAAATTTTCCAGAATTCACAGTCTCTGTGTGATTCCTCTAGAACAGTTATTTCAGATTTTGCAGCCCTCCTTCTCCCACTGTGTCTAGTTTTCAAATTCCCTTTAGTGACAATCATTTATCAAAAACAAGTAGAGCTCCAGGTTGGATAGCTCCGTGGTAGAGTGTTTTCCTAGTATTTGTGGGGCCCTGGGTTCAGTAACTAGCGCCACAAAGGCAAACAAACAAAAAAAAAAACAAGAAAAGGATCCCATTTTCAGTGTAAAAACAAGATAAAATATACAGTATTACAGATATACAGTATAAAAAAATAGGAAAATACAGCCCCCTTGTGGACACAAGTACATTTTACCAAGTATGCATAAAAACCACTGGCCATGAATACAATAATACTCAGTAGATTGTATTTCAGAGTAAAATGTAAAGGATTCATCCACACAATGGCCTAACTCCAATTCCTAATTCCTCTTTGTCAGGACACAATGATCCCCCATAGCACTGAATGGCCTTAGAGAAAACCACAAGTCCTGTGGCTTAAGGAAACCATTTCTTACTTCAGTACAAAGAATTGCACTTGAAATACTGGGAAGAGAAGTTAATGGTCAGGTTTCTGGCTGTGAACTCCCTACCAGGGCCTCTGGCCCCACATTCGCAACTCTTTCTCCCAAGTAGACCACAAGTGGATTTTCCTGCCACCTCCTCCAGGCCCTGATAACAAGTAAGGAGACTAAGTGTCAGTAAGAAAATCTGATGGTCTTGAGAAAATGCTAGTTTAAGGCCAGAGATTGCACAGAATCTGGAGGCCTTCTGGGAGTCACATTTGCAAACCTCCTTTGCTCCCGATTCTTCCGCTGTCTATCTATGCAGGCGAGTCACTTATTCTCTTCACTTCTAATTCTGTCTTCCTAAGTGGGATTAGGAAGCAGCTAGCAACCATAACTTCGGAGAAACTATTACTGAAAATGCACTCTCAGCTCTGTTACTTTGATGAAATAAATATATTTCTACTTTATACATTAGCTAACCTTGACAATTCTTTAATAGTATTAAAGACTATCAATGTATGAAAACTCCCTGCAATATGACCAATACACACAGTCCTTCCAAGAAGTTTTTAATGTGCATTTGCCATTATTATTATATATTCTAGTGCATAAGAGAGAGATATCATACTCCAATTTTAAAAACTAGGAGCAGAAAACAAGAGGATGTCTTTGATGTTGTAAACGGCCCGCAGAGACTTTCAAAATTATCAGCATCAACTACTGGCTGTTTCTGTGCTCTTTTTTAAGTCAAAACTATGTGGAGAATGATACCACACCATGTGGCTATATTAGAGTTGCAGTCCACAAAATAACATTTTCCTAAAATCCTTTAAACAATCTCATT